TGCGTGCCTCCCCATAACCCCTACACATGCGCGTGCAATCCCACCCCACCCCCACCACCCTCTTACCTGCACTGAGCCTCACAGCTGAGTATGAGACCTTTTTTGGTTTTTCCGAAAAACCAGAAGTGATGAAACAGGGCTAGATTTCAGCCTATAAAGCTTGTAGAAGTCTGAAGAAGCCTTCCTCAAGCGTTTGGGAGGCCGAAAAAGGCCTCAAAACAAGTCGAAAATCAGCTGTGAGGCACGCACATGCACAGTGAGGTAAGTTTGCCTGCAGCTCGCATGCCAGCAGAAATGGCTCTGTGTGCAACCTGTGGCACGTGTGCCATAGGTTCGCCATCACGGAGCTATGCAATTATTCAGTTGAAAGTCTATGTTTTTTATTATTTCGAGCATCAAAACCAGAAACAATTTTCCAATGGAAACAGGACCAAATAAAATCTTTAAAACAATTTACATTGCCATCTCAACCAGATCCGTTCCCCCCCCCGCCATTTTTCCTGTTGTGAGAAATAATATGTATTTTAATTTGCACTTACTAGATTTTCTGCACTGTCATGTATAATAGCAAAATTATTTTAAATTCTTTGACCAACAGCCATAAAGGAAAAAAATTATTCTAATTTTGTGCTTTTTAAAACTCTAAACATTTCTTTAAAATTATCATCTTTATAGTTACAGTCAATTAAAATACTTCATTTAAAAAGGGATTCTTTCAAATTTATCCACTATTGGCTTCCCATTGCTCAAATATTATAAAAAAAGACAGAAAATCCCCTTTTTTCACTTTTGTGTTTTAAACATACATTTTATGTTCTATTATTCTCAACTATTTTTGGCTATATAGCTATTCTCAAAATCACATCCCATTCCTGTGTAATTTGCAGAAGCCACACAAATGGGTTTGCTCTTGTGCAGTCTGTAGACCTTCTAGAAGTCATACAAGAGTGGCATGCTCTCTCCTGACCTCTGGAGTTTCAGAAAAATCAGAGAACAGGGTCTGCTTTTCAATAGGTTTTGGAGGCTGCAGAGGTCATGGAAAAGCACTCTCCGTAGCTGCTTCAAGAACAAAGGTCTAGTGCAACCTGGGGCAGAGCCTTGGGTAGACCACAGAGGTCTATTAACAGAAAGAGGACACCACCCGAACATAAGCATTGTGCCCAGATCCTGGGCTACACTAGGCCATTGGGCAATCATGCCTTGGGATATAGCACAAAGTGGCCTTTTTCAATGGTAGCGGTGATAAATAGGGTGAAAGTCAAGATTCAGACCTAACCTTGGCTTTACCAACTGATGCTGTTCAGGGTGGCATGGAAAGTGGGAAGATAGAGAATTGTTTCTGTTCAGAGGACGCGTGTGGGTGTCTGTGTGTGTGTGTGTGAGAGAGAGAGAGGGGGGGGGGACCAAAGTCAAGTTTGGTATTTTCTGAATTTTTGACATGCCAAACCCAAAAAATGTGCCATCACTAATCTAGTGAGTGCTGCCAAATTTAAATCTATATATAAGTGGAATATTAACAAGGAAGTTCAGTGTAGTTACATTTTACAGGTCTTAGACCAGCGGTGGGATTCAAATATTTTTACTACTGGTTCTGTAGGCATGGCTTGGTGGGCGTGACAGGGGAAGGATACTGTAAAATCTCCAGTCAGAGGTAGTATTTGCCGGTTCTCTGAACTACTCAAAATTTCCGCTACTGGTTTTCCGGAACTGGTCAGAACCTGCTGAATACCACCTCTGTCTTAGACGCTATTACAAGCAGTGCAAGGAAACAATCAGAAAAAAGAGCTTTTTCCCAAAAACAGAAAGTTCACACAGAGAATTTTTTTAAAGCACTAAGATATACAATAATTGTGATATTATCAAACCATTTTCCAATCTTGACAACTTTAAAATGTGTGGACTTCAACTCCCAGAATTCTCTAGCCAGCATGCTGACTAGGGAACTGTGGGAGTTGAAGTTCACACATCTTAAAGTTGTCTAAAGCTGAGAAATGTGATCTATAGCATAACTAAAGAAAAAAAAAACAAGATGTTGCAAAATATCACACTATTATTATTTAATAAATCAAAAGGAAAATTTGGCAAAGGAATATTAAAGGAAAACAAAGATGTAGGGAAACTAAATTTTATTTTGTTTTCAGTGTAAATCCATGCTTTAATAGACATTTTTTAGAAGAGTCTTAGGAATAGTACCACTGACAAGGCATGAGGCTATCTGAACTAAATACTGTACTTACAAAAAAATTGGAGTTCAAATTAAAGCACACAGAGATTCTATTTCAGTATCTCCTATGAATAAAAGTCCTTCATTTATTAAACTAATTGCCCTATTCAACTGCTTTATTAAGAAGTATTTTCTATTTTTTTTTTAAAAAATTAAAATTTCTGCCTTCCTACAGATTACTAGTCCATCTACTGGGATGACAAAGGAGTTTGAACCTTTCATTTATTTTTTTCCTCTAGCTAGACTTATTTGTCTAACAACCTCCCTCAAACTTCTCTTCTTAAAGTTACACACACACACAGTTTCTGCAACCTTCCTACTGACCTTAATCTATTCAGATTAATTTCAATCTTCTTAAAAGTGTTTTGCCCAAAATTGAACATAGTATTCTAGGTGATATATGATGGACAGAGTAAAATATTTTCTATTAATTGGAAGTATATTTTGCAGTCTAGTGTCAAGTACGCCTTTTTATCTCAGTATTCATCTTAAAACCAATTATAATTTCAAGCTCTTTTCTATAAATTCTGTTGCTGATATTCTAATTGTGTATTAATTTCCCTCTCTTCTCCATAAAAAAAAAGTTCTAAGATTTAACAAAGGCAAATGTAATGTTATTTTCAGTTAATTTCTTCAAATTGTTTTTAACTTTGTTATTTTCTAGGGTAATTATACTATCCCATTTCTAGTAATCTGCAAATTTTATAAGCATACATTTCAGTTCCTCATCCATGACATTAATACATAGTAATAGGCCCCAAACCCAACCTTCTAGCTTGTTCTTGTTTCCTCCAGTTTGAAGCATGAAACAGATAAACACTTTTTCAGTCCCATTTTTAAGGTAATGGGTGATACAGTCCAATATTTTAGGGAGATTAACAAACTGGAAGGATGTTTGTCTCTTCCTTTACTTTCCCTATTAAACAATTAAGAATTCAAATACAACATTTATAGCCAAAAACCATTGGTTAGATTTAGATATACTGAATAGGTTTTATTTTTGTTTATACAAATAACCATATCTGGAAGTACTAACAATCAAAGCTATGTCTGCATAAAATCCATAAAGCCTCAGTTATTATCTGTAGTAAATGTACATTTGCTATTGGTTTTAAGCTAACATTTTTGATTTGCAGAATTTAGCTGATCAAGAAAGATAATAATTTTAGAAAAAAGCAGCAACTACCAGTAATAGGATGTCATAAATAATACCAGCTTTGTTTGGTAACTGCTTGGTACTTAGTCACTTAGATGACATGGGCGGTCCAGAAATGTAATAAATAAACTTACAGTTACAAACTTTCCTATTTAAACCATTCAGAAATTCCCCATATATCCTGTTAACATTACTATCAGTAAGTGGGTGGTTATATGAAAAACCTCAATAGCTTTTGCTATATAGCAAAACAACTAGCTCATTCATCCAGTTACCAGTAAGAACCATTATATTAAGTCCCAACTAGAAACAAAAATATTTCTTAGTTTTATAATTAACAAGGTCTGAAAGCTTGAACTCAAAATAGCCTAGCAGAGCCAGAGGGAGGATGGGAAGGAGCATGGCTTTTGAGTGTTGTAGTACTTAATTGAAAAAAAAAGAATGCTAATCTTTAGGCCTATCTTAGCATATGAATTTAGTACTGCACTTAGGAGGGAAAGAAAAATAACACTGAAAGGATGCAAGATATTTTTGAAAAGAAAAAGGGAAACTGAGGGAGATATGTGTACACAATTATACCACGTTTCTTCAAAAACAGTATTATGGGAAGCCTAATTTTCCAGTTTGTTTACTGATTGTTTCAAAATGAAGGAACCTGTTTTTATGGATCAATTTATATGATATATTTAAATGTGGCAAAGAAAATTCACAAACATCAAAGAAAAAAGGGTGGCTATAACTTTCTTCAGTATGTTATTTCAAACATGCACTGCCTACAATGAATGCACTTTACATCACTCCTAAAGCTTCACGTTATGCAGGTAGTCTTCAACTTACAATTTAATGGCTGTTCAAAGTTACAACAGTGCTGAAAAAAAGACTTGACTGTTTTTCACACTTACGTCCCTTACAACATCCCCACAGTCATATGATTAAAATTTGGTTGCTTAGCAAATGACTCATATTTATGAGAGTTGTAGTGTCTCAGGGCAAGGTTATCACCTTTTGCAGCCTTCTGACAAGCAAAATCAATGAGGAAGCCAGGTTCAACCATATTAACTTCACAACTGTAGTGATCCACTTAACAATTGTATCAAGAAAGATTATATAAAACGGGACAAAATTCACTTAACTAATGTTTCACTTGGCAACAGAAATTGTGGACTCAATCATGGACTTAAGTGGAGGAGCCAATCTGTTAGTTCCATCAAGTGAAACCAATGAAAACTGAAAGCTTTTCACATTCTCCCTGGATCTTTTTCTTAATAAACTGGCATTTTTCACACAGCTGAAAGCCCCAAGTGACAATCATTAAGTTCTCCAGCCAACCTGCTTCAAAACTATGCTGGCTGGGGATTACAGAAGTTCAACCCAGGTGGAATTTATGCACACCTTAGTCTTGATAGTTAGAAAAGGCAGGTATCCTTTTTTTTTTTCGAGTCTCATAACTAGGTGGCATCCAAATGTGTTAAATAGATAATTAAGTACAGTATTTATCCAAGACAGAAACAACTGGAATACCAACTTTCCCGGAGCCCTGGAGGAAGGGCAGTGAGTTCTCACCCAAACAACCCCACATACCCTCCCCCAACCAACTAATCTAAGATTGCCAATCCTTACCTGCAAAGATCTGCAAAGGCTTGAAAATTGAGTTTCTTGATTTTCTTCTCGCTCAGCCAATAACCGACCCTTTTCCCTTTCAAGAAGGTCTGCATCTTGTTGCCCCCCCCTTCAGCAGAGCATGCCCTTCTTCTGAAAAGAGAAGAACTGGGAAGGATTCTCCCCCTCCCTCTCGCCAAGGATGCCGACACCTTACTCCGAAGTAATTGCGGCCGTTAAGAGGACGCCCGTTTTCGGTTTCCAAAAAAAACCCCACCAAAACAAAAAAGCTTGGAACTAGGGAAAAGGCGACGAGGGGGCCCAGCTCTTCAGCATTTCACCCAGAGGCGGCTTTGAGGGGAAAGCACCGCAAGGCTCGGCCGGAGCGGCGAGGTAGGGATGGAAGAGAAGAGGAACCTCTCAGCAGCCATCAGGAAACTTCCTCAACGCCACCGACGGGCATGGCCGAGGCGGGCAGGCAAAAAGGAGCGAGCCGAGGGCGGTCGAGCGAGCAGCAGCAGCAGCAGCAGCAGCAAGTTCGGTGCAACCCTTTTCTGCAGGCCCTCCGAGAGGCTCGGCGAATCCGGAAAGGTTCCGAGCCGGCGGGAAGGTGCCTCCGGCGGAGGGAGAGCTTTCTCTTTCCTCCCGCCCGGGTGAGGGAATAGATAGGAGGGTAGCGACGGCGCGGCTGGGCTTTTTGGGTGGTGGGGGAAACCGCCGTCTGAGGCGGAGGCGGCGGCACTTCAGAGTTTATAAGCCAGAGCCCCGGCTGGGTTGGGCCGGGCTGGGTTGGGCGACGAAAGGGGCGAATCGAAGCAGCTCCTTCCTCTGGAGCTCTCGCAGCCTTTCAGAGCTCCATTTGCCCGCTATTCTCTGCCGCCTCTACTTCCTCCTCCTCCCGCCTCCGCCGCCGGTCTCCTCCTCTCTCCACCTCCGACACCGAGGGGAGGGGGCTCAAGAACACACCCTCCTCGCCGCCGCCGCCGCCGCCGCTGCTATGGCACCCGCGTGCGGAGGCGCTTGCCCGCGGAAGGCACCGCCGCCTTTCCCTCTCCCTGCGCAGGAGCGGCGGCGGCTCTTACTGTAGCCTCCGCGGGGAAAGGAGCGGGGGTGGCTGGGTGGGGGTGGGGGGCAATCGAAGTTCGCCTGCCGGGTTTTGGAGGCTGCGGGGGAGCGAGGTTGTTGATTTCGGCGAGCTGATCCCCCTTAGCGTGGCTGCTGGCTTACTCGGAAGAGAGCCCCTTGGATGAACTCCCGCGTGAAGGAAATTAGAGCCTTTAATAATAATAATAATAATAATAGCAAAAAAACAACAACACCCGCACTGCTTCCTGGGGCTTGGAGTGCTAAAGGCGTGAGGCAGCTGTTCCGCGAATCACCCATTAAAAGGTTTTATTTGGGGGGAAGAAAGGAAAGGGCGGGGGGGGGGGGTTGGGAGAAGAAAACCGTGGATAAAAGACGGAAAGGCTCCCCAAGAAGGATGGTCTCATCTAGACTTTGGGACCAGCTGCGTCAATAGGACAACAAAAATCCTGGTATGGAAGGAAAAAAAATGGGGTGCCTTCTCTAATCCACATTTTCAGATTGGGCTGGACAGGTTCAGGTTCCCTACTCCCTTGTCTTTGTAGCATAGGAAACCTGTTTGTCTTAATAGTGTTGCAAATAAGAGCGTTCTGATACAATCCAGAAAAGCCATCCTTCATCGTTTTCTGAAAACAAGAGGTAAAGAGGCAGAGAATTCAACCTTAAATTCCCTTTCCTTTTAAGACTGTGCAGGGATAAGCACAAGTGGCTGGCATTGTCAGGGACATGGCTATAGGGCAGGCTAAGGATCCGACCATTTATTGCCTTTTGGCCCTAGGGAAGAGCAAAGACAAGGACAAGAGAAAAATATGCCACTGGTTGTGCTTTATCTTTGCTTCTTGTCTTCCTGCCCTCCGTCCCATGCACGCACCTTTTTAAGTTTTGTGCATTACATAAAACAATCTTCTCAAATCTAATGTCGTTCAGTAGCTTTGGATTACACCTCATACAAATCTACGCATCATGGTTGGAGGTTTATAGTCCAAGACACCTGAAGGGCACCATGATAGACAAGTCTAAGATTACAACTGACTTTAGGTATGACTGTAACCCATCATTTGCTTAAATATGACTTAGTGGATAAAAATTGGCTGATTTCCTATCACAAGCTAAGTAGTTACAGTAACTGAGTTCACACATTTGAGCATGTCAAAAGTAAACTCATCCACATTATGACTAAATTTGATGTGTGACTCCAACCAGAAGGTCACTAAATTATGCCAGAGCTGACAAATTTGGTATAAATCCCAGTTCCAGATCTCCAAAACAATGGTTATTTTGAGGTGAAACATTATAACAAAAAAAACTTTGCTTCAAATTCAAATATACTGGGGGATAAAATGATGATGTCTGTGTAGCCAACAAATTCCAAGCTTTATAATTTAAGGTATCATATAACACAGAGTGCTTCCCTTGTGTCATTTGGCCAGGCCACGTGTATCTAGGACCTTGGACTTTCTAGCCACATTTGCTGGGTGGAGGGAACAATCCTGTAACAGTTATTATATGTTATATATTATATAATGTAAGCAGGAGGCAATCATTATAAAAGCATATAATTTTGCAAAGCCTCTCTATTATACCATTCTTTTATTTATTTGAAAATATATGCTTGGACTAGGCCAAAAGCCAAAAATAAGCAAGCATATGCCCAAATTCAATTCAGAATGAATTGTTGGGATTTTTTGAACCCACAATTATTATCAAACAGTAGTTAGTATGTTTAATTAACAATTTTTGCTTAACCATAGTTTTTCCTTGTAGACATAAATTTCTGAACCTGAGCCAAACCTATCTGAATATATTCTCACTTCATGTTTCTTGGGCAAAATGTATGATAAGGTAATAAATACACTCTCACATGATAGAATAAAAAGTGAAAAAGTATACAAAGCCATTTTTAGATAGTCATATATGCACAGTTTTTTTTAAAAAAAACTAGCCTGGAACATCTGATCAAGGAAATCAAAGAAGAAAGTGAGAATGTTGGCCTCTACAAACATCTACAAACATCAGACTGCAGTGCGATGATGAACATGAGCCGAATGTGGAAAAGCAAGACATTAGTGTGGCAACAAAATGTGGCTTAGTCCAGTCTAGTGTGTTTTCCATAGCCACCTATGATTGTGAAAATTGGACATTAAAAAAACAAGACAGGAAGAAAAGTGACTTGTGTGAGCTATGGTGGTTGAAGAAGGATCCTGTTACCTTGGATAGCAAAGTTGACTAACACACACATACCGGAGAGCGTCAGACATGTCACTGGAAGGCAAAATCATAAAACTGTGTCTAACTTATTTTGGCCATGTTGTGGGGGAATTCTGAAAGTAATTATGTTCAGAAGAGTTAGTGGTAAAAGGAAATCAGCTGCCAAAGAACACAGTGGCTGGACACCATCAAAGCTGATACCAGTCAGAGCATAGAAAAATTCAAAGAAGTAATGCAAGATTGGAAGATGTGGAGAGTCCTGGCCCATAGATTCACTAAGAGTAGAACATGGCTAAATGGAGAACATCATCATGTTGGTAAAAATAAAATATTATAATATTATAAAGTTCAAAAATGTGCAAAATATAATAAAAATGTGCCAGTTTGGAAATGTTTGCACATTTTGATGCAAAATAATTCACAAACTGGAAGAGCAAAAAGACCAAATAAATAGCTCTGAAGTCAGGAAACTGGGTGAAATCAAAACTACAAAATGTGTATTTCTATACCATTAGTGTTTCTTCTCCCTCTAATACCTTACTAAATAGTTTGAAGCCAATCTGCTTTCATCTTCACTTCTGTCAATCTCAACATGCAGAGAACACCATGAACCAATCAGTGCTCATCCTTTCCCTTCAGCAAACTAACAAGAAACACATCATTCAATTGGTATCATGTCCCCTGAGCTGTCATGACCATGAAATAACAAAAGTCCATTCTTTCCACACAAAAATTGCTATGGTTTATGAAATTTGTCTCATAATTTTCCCTCAAAATTGCAGAGGCTGTGGTGGGGGATATCATCCAAAAGATGATTAATCGTAAAAAATGGCTTGAAAAGCCCCTCCCCCAAGCTTCCTAGCTGTTTTTGGCACTATTTCTTTGTTATACTTGGTCTTTGGATTTGCAGAAATGAAATTATAGCCTATCAATACATTTTAACTTAGGCATTTTTCATAATGGTTATGAAAATTGCATGTCATAATGGCTGGATTGGTGTTTGAGAAAGATAAGCGGTGAAGTCCCTGGAAGCTCCAGGAATCAGATATTGGGTATCTGGATGATGTGGGTGGGCACGGTGGAGAAAAGGAACAATAATAATGACTGGATCTAGGAGGAGGAGTGAGGCAAATATTCCTGCAAAAAAATGGCTCACCCTCACATCTGCAGGTACTATAGTTACTGTAAACAAAAGTAAAAACAAAAGCACTTCTCCCCCCACCTCAAAATGACATTGTGGCAGGTCCAAAGAGGTACAAGATAGTGGTTGCAGGAGTGCCCAATTTCACCTATCCTTATTTCCACCTGTTTCAATGGTCATGCTGCTAGCATGAAACTGTTTGGAATTCACCTCCACTTTGACCTTGAGACAGCCAATATCTTTCTCAGCGCTCTAATTAATAAGCATAGATAATTGACTTTTTTATTGAAAGATTGCTCAGTTGGGACTTGGAGAATTAAAGTATATGCCAATAAAATAGGAAGCAAGCCCTAACAATTGGTTTCTGTTGAACCTGCCCAGCCCCCTTTAACTTTCCCCTCATCCACACACTTTTTCCCCATAATCAGACAAGTAGAGGAAAGCAGTGAATCCAAAGTTTATAAGGGACAATGACAACAAAAAAACAGATGGAAGATATTGTGGCTATTTTATGGCCTTCTTAATGGAGATCTTGGAAAGCTTGGTCTCCCAGTTTTCCGTTTATGTGGATAACAAAACTAAATAATTCTCTCTTTCTGTATCCCACAGGGTTGCCCTTCCTTCTGTCCCCACTTCATGTAACTGCAAGTTCTTTCTGCACCTCAAGGAGCAGGAAATATTTTTTTAAAATTCTGGTGACTCACCAGACTGGGTGTGACTTACTAACTCTTCCCTGCTATTTCAAAAAGATAGCAAAGGTCGGCTTATAGGGGAAACTTGAGAGTAGGAACAGGAAAGCTTGATGGAGAAATGTCATAACATATTTGCTCCAAGTATAGTAAGCAATGATGCTGCTATTGTTTGCAATAATGGAAAAATCAAAGCCTAAGGGGTAGTAACTTTGCTCTTATGCAAAGCATGACGCTTAGTTGTGGTATTCATACATAAATTCCCGAAAATGGGAGTGTGAAAATGCAAGTCCTTGTTACTGCACTAGATGACACTTGCTAGCAAGGAAGGAAGGAAGGAGTTGTACTCTTTTGTTTTTTTCTGATTGAAATAGCACACTGGATCTTGCAAATTAGGAAAATTACATCCCAGAATCGATTAACTGGAAACAAAAGATGTTGTTTGCCTACACAGCATGGAGCCAGGTTTTTTGAGGGACCACATCTTCCTGATTATGTCTACTCATCCTGTCATGTCTGGCAGGAGAGGCATGCTGTGGGTCCCATCTGCAAAGAAAATGCATCTGATAGGACCTAGGGGGCATGCCTTTTCTACCAAGTACTGGCCATCTGGATCCCTCCTGAGGTGAAGTTAGCTCCAATCCTTATAGCCTTCAGGAAACATCTCAAAATGTGTGTGTGTGGGGGGGCATGTTTCAGCAACCCTGAGGATCTCCTGGTAATAGGGAACCTACACCCTAATTATATTGCATTTAAACA